AGACTTTAAAGAAGTTGAATAATATTAATCATATGCAATAAACACCGCCGAGGTTTATAATTTATAAACTCGGCCCAATTTGACAGTAATACTACTGTCGTCTCCTGCAGCCTTGTCAATGCCATCTTTGAGGTGAACATTTGCAACGAGGCCAAGTAGACGTTTCATGTATCGAGGCACTGTCGCGGCACTGTCACGGCACTCTCGATGCACTCTCGAGGCACTCTTGTGGCACTCTTGTGCCACTCTCAAGGCACTCTCAAGGCACTCTCGTGGCACTCTTGTGGCACTCTCAAGTCACTGTCAAACTTTAAAATGAATATTCACTATACCTTTTGCTTAGCAATTACTAGATAGTCGCTAATTTTGAAATATCTCCGGCTGTAAAGGTCACAGAAGGATCCAGTTATAGCTAAGATTTTTATTGTTGTTTTATGTGTATTCATTTATTGCTTGTTTAATTTGTTTTTTTTTTGTGTTCAATTTATGATTATTTGTATCTGAGATTCTGTGATTAATTTATTTTGTTGATTGTAATATTGTGATATTGCATAATTTATTGTAAATATAATATATGTTTCAGAATTATGTAATGTAAAGTGATGGAAATATTTTAAACGGGCATATCCTGTCCAAACCCAGGATGCACTACATGAAGAATTCTTGTAAATTTGTTTGAAAATCATTAATACATTGCGGATTGCCTTGTTTGTATAAGCTATTTTAGTAAATATGTAGGAGCTTTGCTTGTACATTGTCTTCCCTCATTTTACATCTTGATACTTATTCACTTAACATTAAAAACCACTACTTTATAAAGGTGATCATGGATGACTTTCTCGGACACAGCCAGTTTCTAATCTACAGCAAATCCTTTAACCGAGCACGACTAGCTTCCACGAGTCCCGGGGTGGTGGGCACATATGAGCACGAATTTAGTCCATGCCAACTGTGGACCTTGGAGGCAGACCCTCAAAAACCGGGGTTTTATTACGTTGTAAACGAGAGATATCCCAAATACAGATTAGGCGTGACTAATCACACATTTGTAGTGTGGGACGGTTCTCACTTCACGGATCAGCTCTTTAAGTTTGTGAGTAACCATGACGGGTACTATTCCATCCAAAATGCTCTCTATCCAGAGGAGTGGATTACCAAACACGGACGTGAGGATAATGATGTCTCTGTCAGAAGCTTCACAGGAGGAGACGATCAGTTGTGGCGACTTGTCCCACGCTTCCAAGCTTCCAAGTTAAACCAGGTAGTGTTTAACTACGACAACAGACAAGGTAGCAACCCCATTGGACGTGAGTTATCCGTTACCACAGGGGTCCGCCGAACCTCCACCTCCGCAATTAGTAACACGAGTACTTACAAGAAATCTATATCTGCTACTCTAGGGTTAGCTATTGAGGGGTTGGGGCTGGATGCTAGTCACGCAACGGAGTTCGAGGAAAAACTAGAGATATCATTGTCTGAAGAGGTTGAACAGAGCTGGTCTAAGACGGAGAAAATATCATTTACTGTTCCCCCGAGAAAGAACTTTAAGGTTGTTCAGAAAGGTGTGAAGTTTGAGGGACCGATTGCGGCGGATACCTGTGTTCTGCTGACTGATATCAAGGTGTTTGAGAGCGATTCCTTACAGTTTGATGAGTCAGAATAAGTATCTGACTAGATATTGCGCTCTGAATTTGACACTGACACTCGGACATTGCGGCGAACATATTAGGAATACTAACAGGAACCCGTTTAAAAGTGTAATTGAGCTGGAGTGGTTGCTAATTAGTAATTAAGAACCATAATTCACAACATTCTGTCGTCTCAAAACTTATATAGAACTTATACTTATATTTCGTATAACTTTAATTTTTTAGGTAGTACTAGTATGAATAGTTTTTTAGTGAAGTTTATTTATTTAGAAAGAAAGTTTCAGAAATGCTTTAAAAAAGATGAAAAAAAGAAGACTTTTAAAGTTTGGGTTACAATATGATATTGTTATATATATATATTATATAATATTGTCAGTTGTGATAAGTAGAAATTTGATAATTGAGCAATTTTATCGGCTCCTCAAATATTGGTATTCTTTATTGTATTTGTATCACCCACAACAGCAACCCATATGACAATTGACAATGGGTCGTTTACATATTATTTTTACCAATGACATGCCCAGGAAACCTAACTGCATGGCTGGGGCCTATCTCCGAAAGTAAAAGAGATATACTTAAGGTTTCTTGAAATATGTTCGCCTTGTAAAAATAACTTTTCCTCTCCATAGGAGGAGAGCTTGAGACATTGAGACAATGTAGATTTTGAGTTATTGCGAAAAGTCTTATTTTGGACCATAGAAAAGTTTCCAAATTCATGACTCATGTCTTTTGATTTAATTGGCTGAATTTTGTCACGTGAAGCTGGAATGCGTCACGCGTGCAATAAACTTAAGCGCGCGCGATAACAGATAAGCATCATTGATCATCATGTCATCTCGCTGCATGCAAAAACACGATCACCTCGCCTTTAGTAACACGCCCAGTCAGTAAGATTTGCTGGGCATGTGTGATGATGTGATGTCATAAATTTTACTTTACCAAATCCTTCAGAAAGTGAATGTGTGTCAGCGCAAACATTTGAGGCGCGGATCATGAACTCCACTTATCCCCGAATCATCAGTAACCGCGGAGACCTTTATGCTCGTTGTGGGGTACGGTGACTCCTGACTCCATTAACAGAGAGGGTTGCTAAGTTTCGCTGGAAAATGCTCGGTCATATCCTCTGAAGTGATTGTAACTCACACCCCAACTAGCATTGAGTTTTACTGTTGAGAGTATGGATAATATGAAAGGGAGAATTGCGGTAGACATCAAATCAGTATTTTCAAAACCATTTTGAGTGATTTAAATAAAAGAAATATGAATTTATGTAATTTGACAGATTTGACAAAACTTCGACATATAGCCTCGAACAGAAACCATTGGAGAAATTTGTTTAGTTTTTGATACTTTAATTTTTTTGGGTTAAATATATTTAAGTTTGTTTTTAGAGTTCTACACGTAGACTTATCAGATCCCTAAAATGTTTTTATATTACTACTTCGGATTTGTGTAAAGTTTGATTCACGATGTCAATGACAATTCTTCGCAGCTCGGCCTCGGGGCAAGGCACAGTGGTGCATCTCGCCAATCTACCGAAGCATTATTTGATGCTCGCGCGACCCAGTAGTGCATCGCGCTACAATGTAAAGTTTGATAATAATAATATAATTTACTTTACTTTATTATTTATGGCCGTTGCAAGAAACATCATGCATTATTTGATGCGCAGAAAAGACACTTGACATACGTTGCATGCCACTTTTCGCGCGTGAAGCGCGCGCCGCCGAAGGCGGAAAAATGGGCATATAATGAAGGAAATCGGACTTTTTAGAGGGACGCATATTCTGCCTCCGCATATTCTGCCTCCTATTTGACCAAATATGGGAGTAATTGACTGAGATTGCGCGCGCGCCACCAAAACAGTTTGCGCGACAGCAGCAGTTTTTTTGCGCTATAGTCCGATCCTGTGCCCTGCCTCAATTTTACACCCCATGCATGCATAGGGTTAAATAAAAAATGCTCCCCTGCACCCTGACGAGATATTGGCGAAAAACTGTCTCGATCACGTTGACACAAATTAACTTGTATCACGTTGCGACCCCCACGGTCGTTTCACTTTATCGTCCTGACGATACAGGGGGAGCCGCGCACTTCGTGCGCGGCGGGTCATACAACGTATGACAAAAATTAACGGGTGATACTCGTAAAATATCTGTTCCATATATTGGACCGTCGACGAGTCCAACTCGGCGCGCGTCCTGGTAGGTTTTAAACCTACAATGACACAAACTGATACGTTGCATGCTACTTTTCGCACGCGCTTCCGAAGTTAGTCTAATTTCTCGTTAGGGTTTATAGGGTTTCAGCATATGCTTTTGTTTTAACGGGTGATACTCGTAAAATATCTGTTCCATATATTGGACCGTCGACGAGTCCAACTCGGCGCGCGTCCTGGTAGGTTGTAAACCTACAACTTTTGTTAAGGATTGGGTTAGGGTTAGGGTTGAGATCAGATTAGACTAATTTAGAGAGTTAGGGTTTCGAATAGTCGTTCAGGACCATCTCAACAGCTCTACACTCAACTTAATTGACGATGTCAATTCATCTCAGCTAGCTCGGCGCGGCACAGTAGCGCATCTCGCCGATCTAGAGTGCGCCTCATTGAGTGCGCGGCGCGGCACAGTAACGCATCGCGCTACAGCCTACAACACTCAACTGTCACGTGACTTTTTCAACCCGTTCTCTAACTGGTTAAAAAAGTTAGGTGACATGTTGAGTGTAGAGTGATTAATCAGTATATCCTCTAAAATTGAAAATGCGAAAAACAAATTTTTGAATGATGATTTATCTTGTATCACGTTGCGACCCCCACGGTCGTTTCACTTTATCGTTCTGACGATACAGGGGGAGCCGCGCACTTCGTGCGCGGCGGGTCATACAACGTATGACAAGATTTATCTTGTCATACGTTGTATGACCCGAGTGAGCGGCTCCCCCTGTACCGTCAGGACTATAGTGAAACGACCGTGCATGGGGGGTCACGACGTGATACAAGATTTATCCGACCGTGCTAAATCCTAAATCACTCTACACTCTGTCTCCTAGCTCGATACTTTTTATTACTTTACACTCGACGTGATAAATAAAAACTTGTTTTAAGTGCAAAGTGGCCCTGAATTATTATTCGAAACTTTAACCTTGTACACTGACCCCAACCCTAATCACTAATATTGAATATACAGTGGAACTGGGATGTTGGAGCGGATTCAAGTATCGACTTTATCTATAAATTAACTTTGGTTTTACAACTCAAAGTCAAGCCAACATATATTTTTTACCAATATGTAAAAGGGATTTCAAAATGTTCTCCTCTAAACTTCAAAGTACACCAATGAATAACAGTTGAATTATTTATAATAATCACGGTACGAGCTCCTTTGCAACTCAAAAACAAGATCCAATTCAAATAAATACTGCACCGCTACTATCCGGTCAAATATAAAACTGCAAGTGTTAACTCTTTAGAGACGATTAAAACCGTTCATTATTTCATATATCATGTAAACAGTGTTTTACTTATAGAATTAGATTGTAAGTTCCACACTAGCTTGATCACTTCTTGACACTTATTTCAGGTAAGCAGTGTTTTAGAGTTAGATTGTAAGTTCCACACTAGCTTGATCACTTCTTGACACTTATTTCAGGTAAGCAGTGTTTTAGAGTTAGATTGTAAGTTCCACACTTGCTTGATCACTTCTTGACACTCGTTGTATAAACGAAATGGCAGCTCCGCGTGGATTTCACACAGTTTTAGGAACTGAAACAAAATGTCATGTGTCATGATCGTATCTGTGAACACAAAGTAAAATACAGTTACTTCGAATAATCGAGTTGTCACAAAATGATGTTTGTAACGGCTTTCACCTATCGTTGAACACTAAAAAAGTACTAACCTCAAAAATAATTGACGAATTACTAGGATCACTATCAGATATGAATGTTTGGATAAATTTGCTTGCTTCAATGGCCACTCTGTCCATCTTTTGTAGCGCTTTTGAAGCATTTTTACCGCACGTGCCACAAGTCGGTCTCTTCTTTAGTAACGGAGAATTACATCTACAGCACCTGTAAGTTTAATGTCATTAACCACTTTCCCCTTGAGTTTGACTTTTCCTTTCGTTTGAACTTTCCCCGATCGATTTAAATTTTAAATTCACTCTATATTTCATATATACCCAGGTTCGTTGGCTAAATTTACCAAATACCACCTTTTTAAAGGTTCTACTAACCTGACAGTGACACTAACCTGACAGTGACACTAATAACCTGACAGTAACACTAATAACCTGACAGTGACACTCCTCTACTAACCTGACAGTGACACTCCACTAACCTGACAGTGACACTCCTCTACTAACCTGACAGTGACACTCCACTAACCTGACAGTGACACTTCTTTGCACATCCTCGAAAGTAGGCCAGTTCTTCCTATCAGAGCACGGTCCACACCCACAGGTAAACAAGTACTGGCTCCTCAGAGCTCTCCTTCGTTCTGGGACTGCGTGTGTAGCGTAGTGGTAACCGTAGTTATCCAACAGTTCCTCTCCTGCTGCTATCTTCCGTAGTGCTCGCAGTATTGTTCCCCTCCTGAACCAATAGTTATGTTATAGGAGCTGGCGATAAAAAGCGTGGGTGACTCTATGTTAGTAAATTTGGTTATCTTAGTTATTATTGGTTATCTATATTATATTTTAAACTTGACGAAATCCCCCCGGTAACGGGGACACAGAAAAACAAAATATGAAAATCGATCAAAAACCGACCCTCTGGCGTGGTCAATTTCAGCATGCAAATGGAATTGAAACCTCGCCATTTTTAGCAGGGTTGTAAATAAAGGATAGGAATAGGATATAGCATTCTTAGAATTTTGAATCATGAGTATTTTATCATAATTCATACTCATAGCTTATTTAAAAATAAAAAGAAGTCACTATAAATTTACATACTAAATTTACATACAGCAATTTCTAAACTAAAGGAAGTTGCATCGTATTGCTTTGTATGTGTAAAATATCATAGTTTGATAGCAGTTTGAAAAGTAGATAAGAAAGCCGTTACCCTACAGAGTGTCGGACGACATTAGGGTTACAGGAATGGTTCAGCAAACTCAGAAAGGGAAATGCTCCGGCTCCGATATCTGCATTTGCTGAATACCTAAAACATGTCAGATAAGAGGTTTAGAGTTATTCAAAGTTTCACTACTTTAAAATTTAGCATGAATTACCCTCTCTACCCTCAATTACCATATATCTAAATTAACCTGAATTGTTTTGTTATCTGCAGTTCTGATATCTCGTGAGCGTTGCAAGGGTAACTCTGAAGGCACTTCAGCAGAACAATCTGAGTAGTATTGTAGATACTCTCCAGTTCTAGTCTCCCTTTTACACACCCACCCATACAGATATCAACATCACCTACAGAGACACGGGAACATAACTCAGCTGCCAGGTCAGGACGGTTTATGAAGGAGTACTTGTTGCAGGTTGAGAATACAGCGAGAGTATTGCGGAGTATGTTGGAGAGGAATAGTGCGAGGGTTGCTCGCTTGGTAATGTCTACTGGGGACCGGGACTGGAAGTTTGTTATCAGGCTCATCAGCTGGGTGAACTCTACTGAAGTGTCCTGGAGTGGAACTTTGTTAGAAGAATTGTGGGCCATACTTATATTATTCTACCTGGTTGTTTTGGTAATTGGTAAGAAGAAAAAGCGAGGGTGAAATTTATAGAGAAAGCGAAAGAAAAAGGGATAATAACTGATTGAGGAGCACTTCCCGGAGAAAACAACAAACCTTTTTTCGAGAATAGTGTACTATATCTCTGCGGTATTTAAGTATGGTCCTGAAGGCGAGGTATACCATTTTAGGGAGAGACTGTAGTTCAGGTAAATAACCGCACTCCATCTGTTAACAGGGGAAATTCATTGTTTCTGGGTATATTATGATGTTGCTTACATCTAATCCTATAGAAACTATGAGAGTTATAGATGTGGATACTGGTGGGGAGGTGAAACACATTTGTTTACTTTAATAGTAAGCACCTGTTCAGCGGGTTGAGGAGGTGAAACACATTTGTTTACATTTTTAGGGTAAGCACCTGTTCAGCGGGTTGAAGAGATGATACACATTTTGTATTATAGAAGGCTTGTAACACTTGTAACGCTTTCTTGTTACCCCCCTTTGAAGGCCCCGAATTATTTTCTGAACGAAAGCTCAAAAATAACCGAGAAATCGACCTTCTTATTAACTCATTTTGATGACTGTTTCTGACCTAAAATTGCACGAAAAATCGATTTAGCTAGGTTTCAGAACCTATAAACACTTCCTTATCCCTCAAAATTGATGTTTTATAGTTGATACGAGCAACAAGCAACATATGTTTTGATCCTTCGGTTCTACAGCTCTTGACCTAGGCAGTTAAGCTGAACCCGACAGATCGAGGCAATCCTCACCTTAACTGATCAAACTGGTACTAACACAATTTTCAGATATAAATGTTCTTTGCGATACGTTTATTGCAGCTTTGCAACTTGAGTGAAGACCAGAGTACGAAAACACACAGCAGGTAAGTAACTCACTTTTGGTGACTGTTCCTCACGAACATTCTGATCCTGCAACATATGAACAGCTAGGGAGATCGTCTCCTTAACAAATCGGACAGGTACTATCACAATTTCCAGAGCACAGCATGATAACAAAGTCAAAAGAAACACAACGAAGGTAGGTTACCAACACCACAATATAACAATTATACTAACAACTGAATTAAATTTATTCTGACGACGGGCAGCCCTGATGTGCTCCGTCATCCTCAACGAGCGACCACTTGTAATAGAGGTGTTATGTCATGTGACACCGATCCGTCCAATCACAAACAGGACGAGTCAGCAGATCGATATCGTGTGTTTACTTTCCTTATCTTTATTTGACCCTCTGTTCACATTGTTATCTCTACCACATCTCGGCTCGGCAAGGTCCGCGTGCAATATCTGCACCGCGGTAAACACGCCATGATTACGTCATGAACTTGAAATAGTGTGATTGTTGTACTTATATAACCGTGCCCATTGCCCACGTACAATACAAACTGTTGGGGGGGGGGGGGGGGGGTTTAAGATAAACAACCGATCTTGATAGTGTGTTGGTCGCTCCTCCAACTGACTGTGATGCTAACTGTTCAATCAGGAACGGAACATTAACATTGTTTAGTTATAGCATGTTTCGGTTTAGTTGTCCAATTGCGTATTATTAAAAACATTTACTCTAATATGAGGTCGCGATTGTGAACTGAGTGAGATCCAAATGATGAACTGTGCTTTAAGTTTACACCAACTGGAACCAAAGGAATAATGCATATACCCATGAGTGCTCCCTAACTTAACTTGGACGGTAAGTGTTTGACAATAAAAACTAGGACACGAATTCTCTGACAAGAAATGTTAGCAGGTTTAAATAAAATATACCTGCAATTAGCAGGTTTAAATAAAATATACCTGCAATTAGCAGGTTTAAATAAAATATACCTCCAACTGACTGTGGTGCTTATCGTCCAGTCAGGAACAGAATAATAACATAATTTTTTATTTATTCAAGTAGCCCTGGTCATTTTTAAAAAATCGTTGTCGACCTCCCTTAAAAAAACAGGGTTCAAATTGACCAGTTGGGCACACACGAATGCGATGTCGCTCAGATAAGGCAACATCTTCGCCACAACTTTGTTTCCCAAAATCTTGTACCGCTTCAGATAGCCAATCGAGCGTTCCACGTGGATGCGGGCGATGCTGACTTTCCTGCTGGCTTCTACTTCTTCCGGCGTGAACTGAGTCTTGCCCCACATCCCCGCTGGGATGTTTAGTGTAACTCCTGAAATTTAATTCGCTTTTTATTCCGCTTATTCTTAACTAACCGGACGATGATTAATCACTCTACACACAACTAGACTGTTACGTGACGTTTCAACACGTTTTCTAGCTGGCTCTGAAACCTTAACCACCCAGAATGATCCTAACCCTAACACAAACCCGATTTCTAACTTAAGCGTATGCTGAAACCTTAACGAGAAATTAGAAACCATAGGTCATAGCACGTTATCTCGCAAGAGGAGCATCATTTGGGTGATTCGCAATCAGCATACAAAATATAAATACTACGATTTAAGTTGGTTTTAACTGTTAGTGTTATAGGGGCCCGTTCAGAAAAATCTCATATTTCGAATGTAGCACGGTTGGAACTAACCTTCGGGCAAAATGTCATGAATGAGGAACCCCTTGTCAGCCATCACGTTGTCACCAACAGTCAGCTTCTGCAGTATGTCACTATCCACTACAATTTCCTTGTCGGTTGTGCCACCAGGGTAACAGCGGCTGACATATGTGATTACCCCACTGGGTGCAATTCCAATCAGTAACTTAGCTGTGTGCGTAGCTGGAGATGGAACAGAACGATTATGCAGGGGAAATTGTATGAGGTACGATAGCAGAAGATCTGTAATTTACGTTGCAGGTTCAGCATTATTGAAAGGTATGATCGACTGAACTTACACTTATAATGGCTGTAACATCTGGCGCCCGACTCAATGTTGGACGGAGCTTCAATTTGGACCTGTGGATTGTAGGAATTTTCAATTGCTACAGCTGCAATAACAAAATGAAATTTTGAACATCACAATTCGCACCCCGCCGTAATTGTACTGCTGTAAGAACACCAATTCACTGGTCACGTTCAAAGCGAAATATTGCGTCAACTTATCTGCTGTGACTTTCATAATTTTTTCTGAGCTCTAAAGTTGTAGCTGCTCATTCGGTTCTGGTAATGGACTCAAATCATACCTCGGTACAGTCAATCACTATCCTAGTGTTGGGGTGGGAAGCGAAGCATGCGGGCATGGCTTTCTGGCACTTCGCTAGTGACGGTAGATTGTCGCCAACCAGGGTCTTGAATTTGTTGACCATGATATCCAGCCAGGACCTCCATATCGATGTTATCTGTGATCTCGATACCTGAATTTACCTGCATTTAGCTTCGTTGCAATATACTAGGAAAAAAGTTTTAAAGCCGTCCCTAGAACAGCTGCATCTATTTCTAACTCTTTTTTGAAAATGTGAGAAGTCAAAAATCAACATTTGAAAGGTCAACTGTTGTTACCCAAACTACCGCTGTTGCTACTAAAAATCTTACCTGAAAATCGACAGCTAAAATATCATCAGGAAGATTAACTCGCAGTTTCTTCAACGTGATGAGCAGTTGGTCCTCGTACAGGAGGGTCGAATGTTTGTTGCCAGTAACGGCGTAGGTGAGGGAGGTTTGGGTGCGATAAGACCGGAGGAACTTCAGCAAGGCAAGAAATACCTCTCCATTAGGTAATCCAGTGTATTGGTGAACCTGGGTAAATATTTCAAATGCGGTAACGATTGGGACAACTTTACCTAAGATGACGTGAGGAGTAATGATTGTGGACCAGTTGAACACTTAGTGATTTGTCGAAGTCATGACATTGATTTTAGAATAGTAATGAAATGTAGGAGTCTGGGATAGTTCTAAAATCGGGTACAACAGTTTGACTCAATTACGATGACAAAGAGCACAAACCATTCGCGCAGAATTCTTTATGGTGGCGAATCTGATTCCCTCCAGAAGAGAGTTCTTATACCGCTGTTGGTGGGTGTCGCATACTCTCGAGTCACTAGTAATCCATGCCCTGAAAGAGGTTACAGTTTGAGTTGTGTTCTATATAATGGTATTTATGATGATTGCAGGTGTAACTACAAGGGTCCAAGAATGTACGAATATGAAAACTGTTATGAGCAATCAACTAACGCGGGGTATGTTAGCTTGACCGATTCAAGGGCTCTTTTTGGTATCCTTCGTCTCCCAAACGTAGTACATCCAGGAATTGAACATTTCATAATCTTGTTAATGTAAAAGTTAGTATATAAAACTTGCAACAAGTTGACGTAGAAGTGCTGCACGTGCAATGTGCATATAATTAGATCGAGGAGCAGCGGTTCTGTATCAAAGCTGTTACAATTGATATGACTGGGCAGTTCGGCAAATTTAAAAATTAGTCGGCATCTACACTTTCCTTATTCAGCAAATGTATTCGAATAAAGTTTGAGACAAGCAATATTATATCATAATGTTATTTATATTTACAGCTACTTTCATGTCTGTTTTTTGCATTACTGACATTAAATTCCATACCACAGTGAGTACAGGAGTACGGTTTTGCTCCTGTGTGAACTCTCATATGCACTGTGAGATTACTGTTTCTAGTAAACCGCTTACCACACACATCACACTTGTGTGCTCTCTCTCTGGTGTGCATCAGAATATGCTCTTTAAGTGTGTCTGCCCGTACAAACCGTCTCCCACAATACCTACACTTGAACTCATCATCGCCATGTGTTAGCTTGTGTTTCTTAAGAACATCAGGTTTGTTGAAAGACATAGGACACACATCACATCTGTATTGTAGCAGTGCATGCTCTGAACTGATATGATCATACAGTTCCTGTTCAGAGGATGTCTTAACACCGCACGCATGATACTGACAATTGTGTGTCTTGTTCGTGTGGTTATGGTAGATGTGAGTAGTGAGGGTATTTTTCTGAACAGTAGTATAGTCACAATGTGTACACTTGTACTGCTTATCCCCCGTGTGTGTTAGAATATGACGGGTGAGGTGGTGCTGATGATCAGTCCTATATTGGCAGTAAGGACAGGCGAGTCTCGCTACTTCATCGTGTACTGTTCTAATGTGTCTTGTTAGATCACTCCTCCAACCAAACATGTTCCCGCACGTGTCACACTTGTGTCCTTTCTCTTTCCCCTTTCTTGATACTCCTTGAGTCGTCCCACATTTGTGTCTCTCCAGCTCTAGCTGCGTCTTAAACAGCTTCAAACAA